GCATCTGGTGTATTTCAAATGCTAGGCTAAGGAGGTTCAAGCAAAATTTGAAAAATTCAAATGAACCCAACATGGTCAGTACACTTTCTCTTGTCTTCTGTTCCATTTCAGATGTTTGTTTGCTTTCTTTCACTATCTGTTTTTGATGCCTGTACACAGAGCACACCTGGTATGTTATGTTATACAATTATACACAAAAATATTGCTAGAAAAGTTAATGGATATCCCATTTTAGTAACATACCCAGGGTACCTTTTCAACATTTTCGCTCACAGTGATAAAAGAGCCTTTCATACAAAAAAAATAACAGGAGATTTGGAATCTGCAGGAAAAAATACAAAAGATAGCCAAGTTTCGTAGATATTTTAAAAAATAAGAAAGTTGCAGGAATTTGAATGTTGGCCGCAAGTCCTTGGCCTAAGCCTAAAATTTCTAAGAATTTTTTTACACATTTCCCCTGATATTTTAAAAACTACTGTAGATACATCAAATATCTTTATAGATATAGGTTCTGCAGGAAAAACTACAATAGGCTGCCAAGTTTCATTCATGTATTCCGTTTATTACGGAATTTATGATAAAAAATGCCTCAAAACACCCAAAAATGTGGATCGTGTTTTGGGATTTTTTCAAGTCACCCAAAAAAAAATTCATTAAAAAAATAATAACTTTTTTATTTGTGAACGAATTGTCAAAATTCAAAAACTGTGTTACTCAGCAGAGATAAGGCTATCATATGCACATTGTTTTGTTGGCTTTAGAGCAAAAAAAAAATTTTGTCATGGTTCTTGCTATATAAAATGTTATGTTAGAATAAAGCTGTTATATTATAATGGCTTTTTCTTTCCTACCAAACATTTATCACCCTTCTCTCATGTTTGTTACTCTCTTGTAACACCTTTAATCTTCTGGCGCTCATATGACCTTTCAGTTGCAAGTACCGTAAAACCTCTACTAAAACAAAACAAACCAGAATAAGATGGATCATGTAGAAGTAATATAATTTGAATTTTAGCTTGTATTATTATTAATGTGTTTTTACCATTCCTGTACAGCCACAGAAACATTTCCCACGTGGAATGTTAAGTATCAACATATTTAGATCTATTTATTTCTCCCCTGGCTTCAAAAATTTCTCCTAGCCACCTAACTGTTTAACTAACAATGAAAATTGACAGTACTCATTCCCAACAGTTCTTCGGTGAATAGTATTGAACCATGCTGTGATAAAAGTACAAATTTGACTTGGTCTTGGCCGTTGTATATTGTTTTATCATGGTGGACTTATCAATAATAATCACTGTAAAAGCCCGCCTGCCTGAGAATTGTAGGCAGTAGTAAGGTTTTTGCCTTTGTTCAGTTATTATTATAATTATTATTAACTTTGACTAATTTAAGTGTTCTGCATCCTTAATTTATGAGTTTCTCCGTGATGCACCAGTAGGCAAGGTACCTAGCCCTTTTTTCTCATTATTTTTTACTCCATCTGAAACTGAATGATCAGTGTCGTGAAGACATGATGAAGATTTCTTTCACAAAGTTGATGGTTTTGTTTCATGTACTCGTTAAATCAAATCATTTTTTATCAATTTTCTTATTTTATTTTCCAATCAGCATTTTTGCAAGTCAATTATAAATGTGCATTATATATGTCTTGTGATGGTAATTACTTTTTCTCTTTTACACCCACTCCCATCTCACCTTCAAATAGAACAATGCGCCGACTTCCAAGACCACCAATGGGCCTGCCAGGCATGGGACCGCCAGGAATGGGGCACTTGCGGCCTCCACGGGGGCCTCCACCTATGGGTCCAAGAGGCCCGATCCCAGCCCTAGGCCTTCCTCCCTTGCCAGGGATGGGCCCACCCCCTCCTGGACATGGTCATGCAGGTGCTGTTAGCAGCTGCACAAACTCCAATGACCCGGCATCAATGGATTCTCGACTGTTTGTGGGAAATTTGAACACTATTGCACTTTCTAAGGAAGCTATAGAGGGCATCTTCAGCAGATACGGTGTTGTCATAGGAATCTCCATGCACAAGGGCTATGCTTTTGTGCAGTTCAATCATCCAGATGAGGCAAGACGGGCTGGTGCAAGTGAGGATGGAAAGCACTATGCAGGGCAGGCAATAGGTATGTTATGATTATTATCCATGTATGTACTCCATTGCTGACTGTTTTTTTTCAATGTGTTGTTATCTGTGGTGGATAATGAATTACTTTAATTCAGTGTACCCCGGCAAATTGCATACTCCTCGAATGACAAGAAAAGCAGGGTCTTAAATGCGAATGCACTTTTTTAAAGAAAATTTGGAAGAGTTGTCTAAAGTAAAAGTATATCCTGTCAAATTTCATTGACTTTTATGCGAACCACCTTGCATCTGATCTCCTGCGCTAGGTTCTATCATTGAATGATCTGGCCTAGAAGTTAAGTTTTTCTTTGCTGCGCTGAGCAATCACGTACAATGACCATCATAATCACTGCATAGCCCTTTCACACTGTCCGCCCTCCATGCCTGGAGATAGTCACTGTCTTTTCTCACTGCGCAATTCTGTCTCATGTGTCCCCATACGTCTTTTTCTCCCTGGAAAAGCTGCAATTTTAAGTGAGAAAGGAGAACATGGGGTGTTAGCTTCGCTTCTATGGGTTCCAAGCAAAATGAATTGTTTTGTGGAGGATCTTTTTCTGACACTAGTGCAGGAGAGACAGTTCTATTTGGGGGAATTGTTGATCTTGATTAAGAACAACCACTTTGGAGTCATTATAATTGTATGCGAAAATTTCGGTTCTGCACAGCAGATGTGCTTAAAGTTACAGCGGATCGTGCTATTAGCTGGAGACCACTGTATTTTATTTTGTGGGAGTTTTTATGTGTCACTCAGAGGTTTGACTGAGGAAAAATAGGCACATCATCTTTGATTAACTTTTTTGAAGATAATAGTTGATACTGTTGAAATAAAGTTTGCTTTGAATTTTTTCTTTTGTTTCAGTCATTGTATGATTTTTTCTTTTAGAAATTTTTACTAGATAGGATGTGTGTACGTTGAGCTTAAACTTAATGACTTGCTTATTTGTCACATTTAAGTTTCCCTTTTTCCCCTCCTACACTGCCTACATTTGTTGATCCAGGTTTATAATTTTTTTAAGACTCATGGCATTTTATGTGTCTGCTATTATATGTGACTTGTTTTTGTTTGTTTTAGTCTTTATCATATGCCTATATAAACTATGTTATTAGTGGTTATGACTGTACTATATTCTGGGCATTATGAAATAAGTCAAAGAATGAAATGTTTTTGTTTTGATTTTCACTCACAGTAGTTTTTGTGAAGAGTTTGTGAAGTTCTTTCTCTTTTAGACTGGGGATAGAGGTTTCTCTGTAAGTTACTTTTACTTTTAGTTGAAAAGGCTTCAGTTTGAAGTTTGCTTGTAATTACTAAATTTCCCCAGAATACATTGTTGTGTCTCATTTCCTTCTATTACTTTTGGCTTATTGTTAGGTGATGAGTTCTAAGTTGTCATCCATAAGCGGTCAGTACTCATCAGAATTTTTATACTCTATAGTCTATTGCAAGTAAACACTCTGAAATGCTATGTTTGGATGCAAAGTGGTTACTTTTGTATGCTCTGACGAGTGCTCTTTTGTGTCAATGCTCAAGAGAAGAATTGAGAGAAGGATACTAGTGGCCAAACTAAATTGTCAATTTTAGTTATATGCTTCACATTGGTGGTTACCAAGACTTGGATTAGAGTCATGTTATGCTGGTCTTTGTCTTTTTCAAGGAATGCAGAAATGTTTTTTGTTTATGATATATGCATGTACCATGGCTTACCTTAGCTGTACACCAGAGCTTCTGGTGATTGATTTAGATATTTGCTAAATCTATCAGCTCAAAAAAATGAAAAGCTGTTATGAATATTATTATATTTATAGAATCATTACAACAGTAAACATGAAAAAAGAAAGAAGTTTGAAATGTCTTTGACTTGATGACAATGAATGATCATTGAAGATCGGTTTTTGGATACAAAGTACAGTCTTTCTCAACTTGCTGTTAGGAATGTATGAGTGTTATGATTTGTTGCAAATGTTATTTTACGATTTTAATTTTAACGTATGTTCAGATGCAGTATACACTGGTTAAGGGTTAAAGATTTAGGTGAATTGTTAAAGTATAACATTGATAGGTATACAAGTGGGGACGAGCATGGCTGCTCCACTCCGGATCACTTACTTGCTTGCCCACTTGACCTCTGAAATGAGATTAATCCCCAGTCATTCTACCTGTTGGCCCTGCTGAAAGATGCTTACCTTTGATGTTGTGAAATGCATCTAAAACAGCTACTGTTCGTGTTACTGTCAGGAAATACAGTGAAAGAGCATTTATGATTTCATGCAGAGGAAGGTGTCTTTTATGACAATTAACTTTTATTTTGAAGAAGTGAGGTGATGGATGGCCTGGGGAAAAAAGGGAACGGTTTGGCGTCTAGCATTGGTTTGTTTATCACATGCCAGAGTAGAGTGAATTGATTGTTACTTGAAATATGAAAATTAAAATTCAAACTTGTCATTCCATTTTTATTTACCCTCAAAATGATGAACAGCCACACTGCAGTGATGTTATAAAGGTATCCCAAGAGGGCATGATAAAATATAGAAGCCAGGGGCAAACTGTAGTTCAGAGGACCTACTGTACTTTTATTATGTATGTAAGACTCCTGAGTTTACAGGATGGATTAAGGAGGCGCATGTGCTATGCTGTATACTCTGGTTAATTTCTTGAAACTACATCTGCCATGCAAGGAGCATCCATTTCTGAGATCAGCCAGTGGAACTCATACCCTGCCATGATTTGTTACATGCCTGACAGGGTCAGAGAGGTGAACAGGTTACAACTAAGTGCACCTCTGGGGGAGCAAAACTGGATGGCAGGAGAAGGGTTGTGCTTATTAGAGTTTAGGATTATATTAATTCTTTTTCTCCTATACTCGTCGTGATATTTTTACTGTGGTGTCTCACTTTCAGTTGCCTAACATCTTTTATAGACTAGAATAGCGGGGAAAAAATAAAAATTTCTTGTCGTTAGAGAACGAAAAATGTGGAGGGATTTGTTAGTTAGATCTGTCATAAAATAACGTTAACAAAAGATGTCGACTTTTAAATTTGTTCTTTTTTTTGGGGGGGGGGGGGGGGTTCTGTGGACAGATGGACTTATGGCAAGTGAGCTGTGAACTGAGACTTGCAAATGACGTGAAACAAGTGTGAGTGACACAGGGTTTGGATGGGTGGTAGCTGTGTCCTTGAGCCACACACGGTAAGCCCAGCCGAAGACAATAGGGCACTGGGCGGCTCGAGGGCGACCCACAGTGGCATGTCGGTAAACTTGTGTGCCGTGTGGAGGGGTTAGTATTCTCTCTGTGTCTCTTTGTTTGTTTAGTTTAATGTACAGTCAAACCTGTGTAAGACGGCCACCCATTGTCAAGGAGAAAAGTGTCTGTATAAGACAGCTGGCCATTCTTAGGCAGGACTGATCAAGATGAAGAAAACAAACCCCATTCCCAATCGAAAGTAGCTGCATTATTGTTATTTTTGTTGTTGTTGTTGTTGGTTTGTATTTTGTTTATTATTTTTATTTTGTTGCTGATTTTGCACAAGGGTGACAATAAAACGAAATGTGTCAGACAAGGAAGACCGAGTGCTATAGTAAAACAAACACATGGGTCGCCACCACTCGAAGAACGAGCGACACTTCTGTCACAAGTTCATGTTGACGTCCATTGTTACTTTGTTA